TAGACCACACTGCATTCAATAAGCCACTGCGATTCTGAATGGAAGTAGAATGCGTGCGGCATCCCATAAGAAATTGATCAATCCTTTATCGTAACTACTGCTGTGCCCCGAAAGTTATCACAAGAATGCTAAGTTGTGGGTAGAAGCCTTGGCTCCAAGTGGGATTGGATCCGGCAACTCAAGCTTTCGTGAAAGTGCGCTATCCGTTACGCCACCGAGTTCTCACCTTCAGATTAATGACTTTTGTGCCAAAAAGTTATAGGCTAACGCAGACGACTAGATGGCCCTGGTTACCGATCGAGGGATCCGCTGAAGCATGTAAGTTGGTATCTCCTAGCTAAGGCATATTGCAGTCTTTCCTCGTTTCATTAATCAGGACCTAGTGCGAGTGACGCGTACGTAACACCACTAGCAATACCGCTTCGCCACCTCGCTGCGACGTGGAATTTTCAGTTAACACCTTCAGGCACCCATAAGAATCGTAATTCTCCGCGCTGGTGAGCGTCGCGTCGCGCCCAAATGACGATGGTTCCAGGTAGTAGATGGCGACAACAGGCAATTCAGAACCGAAAATAGTCATGAATGTCTACGATGAAGTCCGGTGCTCCAATCGACAAGGTTAACACGAGTTAAGAAAACGCCGCGCACATCGCTGCGCCCGGCGGCAAACTACGATTCTCTTGCCCGTCTCCCCCAAAGAGCAGATCTTTGTTCACATGATAAGAGTTGTCAGAGATGTTCTTGTTGAAAGCGAACCGACTGAAAATGGTCCGATTGTACGAGAAAATCGATTGTACTCATGTACTTCTTGTTAATTAGCTCTTTTGAACATCTGAAGCATACGCTACGCGGAAAACCTTACCCTTGTTGGGAAGAAGGATATTTTCAGACTTGTAACTTACCTTCCCCTCGTATTCGGATACATTCATCCATTTCATCGGTTCAATAAGATAGCCAAATTCGCACACCTGCAGTAAATAGATAAGAGTAAGGCTACGAACTGTCACTAATCCCCGTCTAAAACTAGAGTTAGTGATAACTCTTCCTGATAAGAACATTCCACCGTATGTTTCCTAGCAATGAACAAAAACACGATTCTTATGAGTTTCGAAAATCCCCACCTCGCCATCCATACGTTTGTGTT